ATGATGATGATGATGATGATGATGATGATTCAAAAACACCAGGCACCGTCAATCAATATTATAAAAACATTGAATGGTATTATATAACAGATACAAGTTTTAACTGAAAACCTAAATGTTTGTGTGTGTGTGTGTGTGTATAGATATATATAAAACTGCAAAACAGTATCATATTATCTATCATTCTTATCTATAAATCAATCATATTCTTATCTATCATTCTTATCTATCATATTCTTATCTATTTAGGTGATTCTCTAGCGCTAGGATGTGCAAAACAATACGAGAGGTACTCCAGGGTGATTCCTTAAAACGAACAGTAATTTCAGTGCCAAAAGAGGTGATCCCTTTACAGACCTCTCGAAAACCACCGTACAGTCCACGAGCTTTCGTGGATTGAAACACCCACATCATCAGGTTCATCCCAATGTCAAGACCTTCAAGGGCAAACGTTGGCAGCGAGATGGATTTTGCCAGAAAAGTTACTCTTTAGAAGTACAGGTCTGATGGAATTCGCCAGGCACGTCTTCCTCTCTTTGACCGAAGTCTGGAAGCAGGAGGGTTGCTGTTTTAGGGTTCCAGCTGAAGCAGCTGCGCATTGTGTGCCGCCACAACCCAGTTCTCCAAACAGAGAAGCACAGGCCATGCGTGTGTGTGCTCACACACCCCTCCCCATGTGGCCTTTCAGTGTAAACCAATTTTTCATTGGAAGGTTTTGCTCCTTGCTCGAACAACGGCCATCCATGCTGATGAAACATCCAAAGAGCAAGTCATGTTATTCTGCTGCAAAAAAAATTACAACAACAACCCCATAGTACCATAAAGATTAGCCAGCTTTCTTTGAGACCAGCTTTCATGGACCCTGTTCCCATTCAGATGTCTGCAGTGTACTCTCGGTAGGCAGAGTTTTATAAAAATGTGCGGGTCGGTAGGCAAGGTAGATAGAAATGCAGAAATTCCCCCCTGGGGATGGTTTCGTTTGCGACTAGACATCAATCGGCGCGGACGGGGAAAATGACAATTTGGGGTGGTTACTCATGAACCAGTAACCATTCCCTGAAAAGCCAGTTCATGGCTTGTTTTTTTCTGGTGCATGTCTAGGAGACGGGAACCTAACAACTCAACCCCCTCAACATCCCACTACTCCCCCCCAACATCATCTCCTCGTCATCCTCCACTGCCACCATCTGTAGAACCCGGTTTGTTTGTTCATTTCCAGTTTATTGTTCAGTTCATGTCCATTTCTGTTTGCAACTGCTAAGGGCCTTTTAATAGTTACAGGTTAGCAAGTATAAGTCTTGGTGGTGGTGATTAAGATGTGTTCAAATGTCCTATGAATTACACACTTACACAGGTTATCACATATAAAGGTGTGTGTGGGGGGGAAGTGTGTGCTAAGCCCAGCCACATCATCTTCCACAGATTCCCTGGAAGCGGTCTAGGCTCTCGATAAAACACCCCACCCTTGCCATACAATAAAAGAAACTGAATGTCTTGTTCTGTTTTATTAGTATCAAACACATAACATCCAACAGTTTTATGCTGTTGTTTAAGTGATCTGTCATTCTAAATACAAACCGGCAGTAACAGTCACACTAAAAAAATATTTACAGAAACAAGAGTCAGTTTTATACTTAAGACGTTTTTCATACAATTTACAAGTTAGTACAAAAAAAAGGTGTGGAAACTTCATAACAGTATAGATTTGTTATGGCCGTTCAGTTAATTTCAAGTATTTTCCAGTGGAATGAAATGTGGGTGACAGCTTAAATTTAATTTTCAGCTTTTTTTTTAGTTTTCTGAACCTCAAACCGTTTTAAAGTCACATTAACTGCCACAACTTCCCACTTAAAACGTCTGGGAACTGTTGCCCTGGTGTTTCTCGGTAGCTGACGGGTCTGCCTTGTAAGATCATAATTCCCCAAGCTCCTTAAGAGGACGTTTGTAACTTAGGAAGAATTGTAGTTAAAAAAAAAATTAAGATTCCTGACTGCTTTATACTCCAGACAGCTATTCTGGGTTAAAGATGTGTGTTATTTTAATGCAACCGGTACCACACAGGACATCTCTTAAACGCTTCTCAATGAAAAGGGATGCCCTCTACATTCAGGAACAGGTGGAAGTGGTTTGGAGGACACATCAGGCTAGCATCACCTGTTGTGTGGGTTGAGTGCAGGATCACTGACAATGTGGAAAGATTTCACTACAGTGGTGGAAGTTCTTTGGACCAAAGCCGGAGAGGGGATATTCCCTACTCTCCTGAAAACTCAAAGAACGTTTATCACTGCTGGGCAGAAGACTCTTTGCCCTTTCTGATCCCTTTCCCTCGGGATGGGGTATTTAAGACCAGCCGTTGTAAGATTGAATCCACACGACGGAGTGAGCTCCTGTCGCTTGTCCCAGCTCCTCCCAACCTAGCAGTTCGAAAGCATGTAAAAATCTGAGTAGATAAATAGGGACCACCATGATGGGAAGGTAACGGCGTTCTGTGTCTAGTTGTGCTGACCACGTGACCACGGAGACTGTCTTTGTACAAACGCTGGCTCTACGGCTTGGAAA